CCACCCCCTACTGGGGCACTAGGCTGAGGTAAGGAGTCCTGGAGATCTGGCTCTCTCCAGATCATGCAACAGGGCAGACTGTTGTATTCTGCTTAATGAGACTCCAAGGTAGAGTGAAAAGGGTCACAACCATCACTGGGAGGAAGCAATGCAGGGTCCTTGGAGAAGAAGGTCCATAGACGTCCTGTCATTCAGCCAGGCCACACTGTGGTAACAAGCAATGTCTGACTCTCCAGGCTTCCAAATTATAAAGATTCATTTTGTTTTCCTTTTTTTTTTTTTAATGCTACCTACGCCTTGCCCATTAGAACCACTTGGGGATCCAGGGTGATGGAGTAGCCAACATTTTGAAGGTGACGGTGGTGACATACACAGGATGAAACTCAGACATGTGCTCTCTGGCAGTCCACAGCTGACAAATGTCCTCACATCTCAAGGCAAGAATAGTTCTGGAACCCACTCATTTACAGGGTTCTAGCAAGACAGTGTGGGCATGGATGTGCCCAGGTACAGAGACCACAGTATTTAGTGATTGCATGTAGAGGGCTACAGAACAGTGCCCAGATCAAGGCAGGCTGTTCAGAGAAAACTGTAATATGATGGTAGACAATGGGGCTTATTTTCATGCTGGGGACATGGTTGCAGTGTGTTTTCTGTGGACTTCTGTACTTAAAGGCCTTCCTCTTTCTGGGGCTGCCCTGATGAGATCCTGGGAGCTGGTCTTATCTGTTTGGGACTTTCTGTTGAGTGTCCCTTCTGTGATCTGTATTATGGAGATCAGGACAAACACAGTCATGCCTTCCTGCATGTGTCAGAAGTTTGTCTGTTGCCTCTGTTTGTGATCCCTGTCACAATGGTGGAGTCAGAGCTCTGGGGCTGGTCCTTGTCTTGTAAGGTGAAGGATAAACATTGAAGTGTTCCAGGATCTGGAGAACTACAGGACAAAAGACAAAGTTTAAGTTTCAGAGAGGCAAAATTCGTCTAGAAACAGGATTTGGGGCAAATGTGGGTTCCCATATCAGTCAGGCTGCTGTCACAAACACGATGCTCAAGTGGCTTTCTCTAGAAATGGGAATCTGAGATCTAGGGCAGGATGGCAGAGATCTCTCTTCCTGGTCATGTCTCCACATGCTTTCCTTGATGCAAGTGCAAAGAGGGCTCTTGTTTCTCCTCATAAAGATATTAAATTCAACATGAGGTCTCTGCCCTTATCAATGTCTCTAAACTGGCCTGTCTCTCAAGGGCCCACTCCCTCACACCACCCCTTTAGTGAGGTGCACACACCCACAAGAGAGGGCGCTGAGAACACAATAGGAAGAGATCTATGCCAGGCACTATTGAATGGTGTCTCTGGTCAGTGCACACCATAAATCCAGTGCCTTTGAAAGGTGATATGCCAAGGACTGTGGCTTAGTCACTTTCTCCTTACTGAGACAAAACACCCAACACCCAAAGTTACAGGAGGTAAGATTTACTTCAGAACGCAGTTTGCAGGTTTCAGTCCATAGTCAGCTGGCTCCAAGGCAGGGCAGCATGATGGAGGGGCATCACAAAGGAGAAATTGTCACTTGTTCCTGGTATGAAGTCAGATGTCCTCTGCAGGGCACTGCTTGCCCAGGGAACTTGAGCACCAAGTTGTGACATTTGGATCAAAGGAGGGATGTTCTTGCTACCTGGATTGTAATACATATCATCCCGAAAGCTGCTTTCATTGCTGGACAGGTGCAAACTTCATACATTACCCTCCTCAGTTTCTATTTGGGAAAATAATTTTAAAATATTTCTACTGGCAGTGAATAAATATTGCCCCCTTAACACATCAAAATGAATGGCTTTTAGCTCAACCAAGACTCTTAGAAGAGCTTCTTTTTTTTTTTTTTTTTTTTTTTTTTTTTTTTTTTTTTTTTTTCTGCAAGTGAAAAGTATATAGAGCTCTTGACTTCTTCATTTGTCACCTCATTTTAAAAAAATCACAGCTACAATGCAAGCTCCAGATGATTGTTGAGAACTATTTTCTTTGGCATGGACACAATGGCAGGTATAATATAACACAGTTGCCTTCACATCTGAGATACTTTAAATAGACTGTAGTTTGCATGTACGTAAAACAAATTTCTTATGACAGAAAATGACAGTATCTCTCTTATGGCAGTTCCTATAAACAATACTAAAAAACAACAAATTGTTATTTAAATAACTTTATATAATGATACCAGTATAATCTCTTTAAATTATATGTTCCCATCAATGAAATAAATAGATTTGTTGCCATGCAGCAAAGATCTGAGAAGTGCATCTTATTTATTCTTGCAATAGCAAGGACAGCAACCCAGTCTTAGTCTACTGACTGCATGTCCGTAACTGAATTCTTATGAAGACTTGACCCACTTTTCTCTGGCTCTGAGGATATGACAGTAACCTTTACCTCTCTGTATTATACATCCCCTGTCTATCAATTTGAACAAATGGTTTGATACTTTCTCCTTCTAATTACAAAGGCAGCCAATAATTGGAGCAGTTTTTTCCTGTATGGATCCTCTGTTGTCTCATGTGTCAATAGTTGTGGCTTTCCCAGGAGTCCCGATGGACTATGGTAGGTGCCCTTGAGAAAGATTTTGTTGTTATTTAAATTCAATAAAGTTTTCCTACCCCCTGCCTTTATTCTGTCCGTTTCTCTGCCACATCTCCACCTTGAATACCTATTTCCTTCTGAAAAGAATCAGTAATCTGAGAAGAAAATACACATTAAAGGACAGATTTTCCTAGCCAAATAATTTTTTAAGAATTACATTACATGTATTTATTTAAAGCATAAAACCTAATAGAAAAGCTGTGATTATGAAACAACCTAATATTCTTATGACAGTGTTGGAAAACACTTAATAATATTGCTTTTACAGCTGGCAAGTATGTGGAATGACACCCAGCTCTTGAAACTCTACTGAAGAACATTATAGAATAACTGCATAAACTACAATAATTAATCTTTTCTTAAGTACTTTGTATTTTGTTTTTCCATAGGATTTGAGCAAGGTAATATAGCTAAATATTGAACTACTTGTATTATATTTTTTCTAAAACCCAGGGAAAATGTACCTTATTGTACCCAACAGCATGTCGAAATTATGATTTAGTCATCTTTATATGCAGTTCATAAGATGTAATATTGAAAATGGTCCCATGAGATGCACCAGAAGTTAGGCCAGTGAGCTTAGCCAGAGACAGAAACACAGACACATCTCAGCCCTGCCCAAGACCCAGGGAATGTTGGCCTTAGAGAAGGTCATGCCATGGACATTCGGGTCTGTTGGGTAGAAAAAGTCCTTCATGGTCATGACAACTGTCAGAGTGCTAGGTCAAAGTTAAACACAAACCGTACATATTGACAATTGACATTCAACCAGTCCCATTGTCACCTTCCAGGGCCACACTCTCCCAGTGACTACTCCCACCTTCGACCACAGTCAAAGGAACTGAATGAGTTAAGTTTCAATTTTTCTCATGGTTGTTTGCTCCCCTGTTGGTAAGGGGGTTAAACATTGCTGTGTGCCCTGCAGTGCCTCCAGTGAGAGGAACTTTCCTCTTCCTGGAGTGGGGCCTGGTCATGTGACTTACTTTGACCAAGTTATGATGTGTGTGTGCGTGTGTGTGTGCCTGCCTGCATGTATGCAGCTATGTGTGAAATATAATGTGTATATATACAAGTGTAGGTATATGTGAAATATATATGACTATCTACAGATGAACTAAACACATGCGGTAAACCCATATAAGGGAATATTATTTAGCCTTAAAAGGACTGAAGTCATACATGGTACTGAGAGGCATAATTCTGACTATTTGAGTCTTGGTAATGTGGGTATGAACTGTGAAAGAAACCAAGAAGCTTGCCACTACATAAAAGTGGGCACTAAGCGAGAGGACTTAATTCCCAAAGGAGTGACTTACTCATTCTGCGAATTATCGTCGAGACTGAAAACTATAAGAAAATCAATAGACATTCAGAAAAACAATATAGAAAGCACTAAGTTGTTTTAAGGTTAAGAGCAAAGAATATGTTATTAAAGTGATATGCAATAGAATATTGTAAATAAATTTTGAATGGTGTTGAGATTACACGTGCTGCCTTAAGAATAAACTAAAATAATCAAAATGCACAAGGTGGTTATTATGTTAGAGAGTATGGTCTGAGGACCTGATTTTCACTTTCAATATTTAAAAGGGATACTTGATACCAAGGGATTGCTCTTCTCCCTACCCACTCAATTCACGAACTGCTTTTGATCGTATTTCTCTTAAAATTATTTCATTGTCTCTGCTACTTATGCCATTGGAACTGCTTTTCTACATTTAATTTTCTGTAAGTTATTTCTAAATGAAAATAAGAGCTTTACATACTGCATAATGAGTTATTTCTACTTTTTATTTTTTTAATTAAGTGATATATTTGCTGTATACAACATAATGACATTCGCTGTTGGAGATCTGCACCTTTATATAATCAGTCTTAGTTTTATGTTTTCCCCATTCTCCTGCCCTCACTTCCACCCCTCCCTCTCTCCCTATCTACAAGACTGCTTCCATTATTGTTCGTATTCTCATATTAATTCCATTCCCTTCTTTCCTATACGAGAACGCAACCAATTCCAAGGATATTTATGTCCATAAATGAATGTAAGATGGAATAAAAGAAAATAGTGATTTTTTAATGTTTAAAAATCACAGGAAATGACACACTGCCATTATTCCCACTCAAAACACTGCCCCTCACTTCCGACACGTTTATCCCCTCATTCCTGTCACGTTCTGAAGCGGTTCCAGAGGCCCTTACTCTTGAGTGTCTCTAGTTGTGCTACCCTGGCATCCCCCACGTCCTGAATCGATTCAAAACACCTTTCATGGTCGCTTTGACTTTGGAGAAGAGCCAGAGGCTGCACAGTGCCAGATACAATGAATAAGGTGGGTGAGGAGACTCCTTCATGCTCTTCGGAGCCTGCTCGTCCACCAGATGTCACTTAGCAGCAGCGTTCACTGCGTTCTTGATCACACCTCACAAAGACTCTTTTGAAAGAGAACTTCCAGAGCTGCGCTAGAAAGCGGCAAAAGTGGCAGGATAAGTGTTCAAAGCAAGGGTAAGGATTTTGAGGGGGATTAATGGCAGTGCGTCTTTTGTATTAGTACACGCCAGGGTTTTTGATCAGCCCTTGTACATGGTACTTTTCCTCTAGAAGAAATGCTCTCGTCTGCATGAGCTGGGGCCTAGGCTGTGGGTTGAGCATTATCTTCTGCCGCTATGAGTGACACCCAGGTCTCAGTGGAGGCTCTGAGAAGAGGCCACTGGCCTGGGCACCAGGAGCATGCAGGGACCCACACTGCACTCCTACAAAGTAAACAAAACAAAAGTAGATTTTAATTAGTGTCTTTGTGGTCGAATATTACCAACAAAACATCTCTCCATTTGATGAACTCAGGAGTATTTTGTAACTATAGATTTTGTTCTATTACCTGGAATAACTTTCTTTGGAAGGTGACATCTTTAACATATATACATGTATATATACTCATATATATATATATATATATATATATATATATACACATGTATATATATATATATATGTATTAATGTGGTGGTTTTGTGCAAAAGTGTTTTTTCATAATATATGTTTAATATTAATAATTTTATTTTTTAAATGGTAATGTTGAAGAAAATATTTTAGAGTTCTTGGTAAGTGTACACCTAGGTGCACAGCTGAGGGAATTGGCAGTGGGTACAGAGGGTGAAATGAGAGAACTGTACTCCTTCTCCCTCAGTACTTCTGACCCCAGGAAACCAGGGACAAAACCAAGACCGCAGGGCACCAGAAGGAAATGGCATGATCCTCGTGTTGGTGCAGAGCTTTTAGACCCCCCTGGTCAGCACACTGGAATGGGTGCATGGATATCCTCTAGGCCATGAGGCTCTTGGGACCTGGGCACCAGGTTGTGCTGTGCAAGGTTGAAATTTCAGAACCAGATTTTGTTACTAATATCTGCATGAATCTCCCCACCTTTCACAGAAATAACCAGAAATAGTGAGGACCAGAAACAGTGTCGGTTCCTGTGCTGTGGGAAGTAACATGAGGAGAGTAGTGAGTCCAGGTACGTGTAGGCCCAACCTCACAACTTGCAGTGTGCTATATTCTAGGTTTTTATCTCCCCTGCCTCCAAGCCCATACTAGATTGAGCCTCTCTCATATTCTAGGAGAGTGCTGTGCTATCACTGAGCTACAAGCCCATACCCAAGCTATTATTTTTTTTAAATTTTATTCAGACCCTGAAGGGAAGGAGAGTGATGACTGAGTTGTCAATGGGACATCACAAAATTACCAACTGATGCAAGAGTAGGTGTGTGTGTGTGTGTGTGTGTGTGTGTGTGTGTGTGTGTGTGTTTAATTTCAGTGCCTGTTTCTGCCTGGAAAGCCAGTCTCAGGCCTGTCTGGTAGCCATTGTCTTGGTCCTCACAGATGGCACAGCGGTCACTTCACTGGCAGTTTTCCACTTGAGAGTTGGATGACCTTGCTTGGAGGCAGTCAGAGCCATGATGGTCAGAGTTTCTGATGGCTTGAGCTCGTTCAGTGCTCTCCCTGACCTCCACCTCTGCAGTGGAAGCAAACCAAGGTGGATGCTATCGCACAGCTCGGCACCTGCCCTCACCTCTTCAGGGAATGTTACTTCCTTGTGTTCTTGGGCTGGAACCTTGCCACACCTCTCCTTCACTAAATCTACCTTCTCAGGGAGACCTTTCTGAACTACCCTGGCATCTAGGCTTTCCAGCCTCCTTGACGTCATGCTGCTTGTTACACTCTGGAAACACATGCTAACCTGCTTGTTTCTTATGCCCCCAGGGTAACATGAGCCTCTTCCACTCTGAGCTACCCTTGGTACACTCAGTTTTTTCCTTTGTATCTTCCCTGCCAGGACTCCTCTGTAGAGGCCCATCCTGTACCCTTTCTTTAGCAGGAATGTCCAGTCGGTGGGCCTTCCATGTCTTCGCTGCCCACCCTGCTGACGGGCATGCCCTCTGGAGCACTGAGTGCAGGCACATGAGATGACATTTAGTCGTGTGAGGTAGATGAGGCTGTGCATGCTTCAGAGCAACCTCTCCACTTCTGAACCTTTCCATCCCTTTTCTCGCGTCTCTGGATTTTTTCAAAGTGGGCACGTGCAATGCTCTCTAATTCCTTATTCTGGCAGTAGAGAGGAAAAGAGTAGCATCCCTAAAATGGATCCTAGACGTGCCCCAAGGTCAGAAGGAAGGCTTTGTGTCAGGCTGACCTTGTCTACATGGTGTGCTCTAGCCAATGTGTGGTGATACCGAGACCACAATTGGACAAATGGTCTGGAGGTCACAGGACTCGGTTTCAGATGCTCATGGAAGTCATCCCCAGACAGGGTAGCTGAGGGTCTAAACATGTGCAAGTTTCCCAAGGAGAGAGCATCTGGGGCCAAACAATGGTCACTACATGAAACTCACACTATAAATCATGGACAGTGTTCACTTCCTCTCATGTCAGGGTGGTTACCAGTGTAAAGTAAATCCTGTGGCATTGACTCTTATGAAGGGGAATGTCAAGTGCACTGGAGTGCAGCATTCATTCACAATCCAGCTGCTTGGAAGACGATGGCTAAGCCTTCTTTCAATGATGGCACCATCTGCACAGCCCTCCAGCACCAGCCAGCCCCCTCTCTGCAGCTACCAAGGTCTGCATCCCCAGGAAGCTCCGTGTTGCTTGGGCATGACACTGAGGCAGGCTGGCATGCAACTTTGAACTTGAGATCAATAGGATGCTGATCTCCAGTTCCCTTCTATCAGATCCCAGAATCAGAACAGTGCAGCTTGCACAGAAGCTGGCCAAAGCTCAGTCCAGGCTGGACAGGGAGATGTGGGCTACCACATGTGTTCTCCTGCCTGTGGGATCAGGAGATGGATGTCTGTGCATCCTGTTTGCCCTTTGGAGGTTCCAGGGTGATTAAGCATTGTGTAGTGCAGGTTTCAGTGTAACTGGGACATTCTCTTCTCCTCCATATGTATGCATACATACACATGTATGCATGTATTCATATATTTAGGAGATTTAACTTATGACATTTCATTATAGAAAATTAATAGTTGCCACAATCTAAAATATAGCAGAAGTTGAATTTGATTCCAAGAAAAACAATTTTAAAAGATAATCAAAACATTTTTAAAATAATAAGTAAGCGAATAATTTATAATGTTTCTAAACACTGAATCATTTATAATTGTGTGAGAAGGTAGAACTTCCTCCCACACCAGTAAAATTCTGCTTGTTGGAGAACAGCTGATTAGAACCTGCCCAGCAAAGAGGTCCAGTGCTTTTTGCTACAAAAGCCTGACTTGCAGGCCCTTAGCAAAACCTGGAACCCATGGAGGCTCTGACAGTGACACCTGTACATTTCTTGGATATTTTAGGTAAGTGTGTGTCAGGATAATTTTGTTCCTATTAATTTCTCTTTTTAAATATGCTGCTGGCCTCAGTGTCCTTTGGGGACTTTAATAGCTATAGCTCTACATCTTTATTCTTTGAGGCTGGCTCATGAGGAGATTGATTGAAAGGTGCATTATCTGCAGTTAAGAGCTGTAGAGCTGAGCTACTGTCCAAGCTGGGGATGGTGGCACCCCACGAAAGCAAGCAGGGGTAGTACTGATGACTAGCCTGGTGTCAGCAGGGACTCAGACACTCAGGTGTGACATATGGCAGTACTTCCTTACCTGGAGATTGAAAGCTTATTTGTCCTTTGAATAAGAAATTCTAGTTTATACCTTTCAGGGGTGGATGCAAGTTCTCATTTCTTTCACAATAACTTCTATATGTGGGGCCCAGCTGAAGCAATCAGGAAGCAGCATGTTTTTGTTGTTGCTGCTATTTTGTTTGTTTGTCTTGGTACCAGGGATTGAACTTGGGTCCTTGCGTTTGCGAGGTAGGCGATGGAACCACTGAGCTACAACCCTGGCCCAGAAAGTAATATGTTTATAAACTTCCCTGCTGTGGGTATGGGCTCCACATTTTGTTTGAAAACTTGTTTCGTTTCTTCTGCTTCTTTCTTTGGACAGAATGAATATAGTACCCTGGGCTCTTTGTGAATGTATACAGCCACAAATCTTGGATGAAATAAAAGGACAGTGACTGAGAGTTCTGATATCTTGTCTTTCTCCTGGAGGTGGAGTGAATCATCAAAACCTTAGTGTCTTTGCCTATATGCAGAATTTTCAGAAACAAATGATTATTTTTTGGCTTCTCAGCAATCAATCTGGTAATCAAGTTCCCTTCATTGTTGAAAATTAGTAAGAAGTAATTCTTAATTTTACAGCATATATAAATTGAGAGGAGTTTGGAGGAAGCTTAGCAATGAAGATGGTGCTGGGTAAAAATTAAAAGGGCTTCTTTCAACTTTATCTACTGCCTCAGTAAAGTAGTCCTTTCTGAATTTGGGCTTTCTAAATCTGTGGTCCTCACTTTAGGAAGACCAGAGGGGGGAGTGGTTGATACTGTGGATTCAAACTAGTATTTTCAGAATATCTATATAAATACATTTTTCAGAGCTGATTTGAATAATAAATATAAATCAGAAACTTTCAAAATTCTGTTAAAATACTTAGACACATGAAGTGCATTTGGACATTTAATGTATGTATATAACCTTTTTCTCTACCGGAACCTGGAAATTTTGTTTTGAAGTTTAAAGGGCATGAGGTTAGAAAGCTCACTCTTGCTTTCAGCATGTGTGTAGCTTAGATATTTGGTTTCATTTTCCCGACATATTTCAGACAAACCACATCTTGTGGGCCTTCTGTGGTCTCTGACGGTACAGAAAGCTGTCCCTTGGAGGAGCAAGGGAATGCTTCTCAATCTTGGCATGTAAATTAATTGCTAAATCACAATGCAATTTCTATGGAATTGCATCTGAATGCAAGGTTAATAATGAATGAATTAATCAAGATTAATTTTATTATAATGAATACCAAAGGATCTAATGATGATTGGCTGCTTCTTCTTGAGAGCTGTCTCATAAATATTCACATTTTTGGAGAATACCGTGACTCGAATCACGTATTTGAGGAAGCCTTTCCTACATAACTCTGCAAGCCACGTGGGGGGAATTTCTGCAGGAATTTCTCATTTAGGAATTAATTTCCCTGCTAGGCTTTCCATCCCTGGAGCGGGTCCCCAGCTAATGAATTGTTGAGAAAAATATGTGAATTTTATATTTGGAAAATAAAGGTTCAGTAGGAGGAGGGGCTCTTTCTAGTCACATTTTTTCATATTCAATTAGCTTGACACATTTAAGAAAATTAATTCAAAATGATGTAAGGTGATACATTGGAAATTTCAGGATATCATTTCTATTTGTGTTAGTTTCTATTGTGTTTCTGTTTGTGTATTATTTCTATTTGGTTGTATTTTGCTATTTTTTAAATGTAATTCATTCATATATGAAAACTTTATATCATGTTCAAATCAAATATAAAAGTGCAAGCCAGGTGTGGTGGTGCACACATGTAATTCCAGCACTTGCGAGGCTGAGGCAGGAGGATCGCTGTGAGCTCAAGACCAGCCTGGGCTGCATAGTGAGTTCCAGGTCAGTCTCAACTATACAGTGAGACCCTGTCTCAAACCCCCCAAAAAAGAAATATACATACATATATGTGTGTGTGTGCACGCACACACACACACGTGCCTGCAGTGTTCTCCAAAGGAAAATTTTTCTATATTTCCTGAAGTAAAGCTGAGCATATTGATAAATATAGCATTGGGTTGAGATCATTGTGCGGGAATAATGGTAGTTTTCTGAACCGAGACCAAAGCAGTTCGTTTCTACTCAGTCTTCATCTGCTGGTCCATCATTCCCCGTGTCTTCCCAGCCTCCTGGAAAATGCTTTCCACATGGTCGCCACAGCTCCCTCTGAGAGCCAGATGGATGAAAGTTCTCTGCCATATTCCATTGTCAATTCATCTGATGTCATTCGCTGTCACTGGATACTTTCCGGTTCCCCAAGGCTACCTCCTTTGCTTTACTTTGCTCTTCCTTCTTTCCCGCTCTCCCTCTTCAACTTCACTCATGGGCTCAGATCACTGGCTTGCTCCTTACATAGTATATCTTCTCTGGGTTTCACTTTCCTCCTTCCTCTTTCCCTGTTTTTGTTTTGTTTCCACACAGAGCCTTGCTAAATTGCCCAGGCTAACTCAAACTTGTGATCTTCTCTCTTAGTCTCCCAAGTACAAGCCGGTACCACCATACCCGATTCTTTCCCTGTTCTTCAGGAAGAAACAACATTATATAGGAGCACGAGTTCAGTTACTTCTATTTGATGCTAATGGGCAATATCTTCCTAGACATTCTGTGGGTCTCAATGAGCAATGTCATCCTTGATATCTGCTTCTCTGTTAGTATCTTTCAAGGGCTCCATCACCCTCCATCATGTTTGAGACAGTGATGATGATCAAGGGAAGTTCATGAGCCCTGGAGATGCCCAGCAGCACTAGAACCAGATGTAAGATGTCTGGTGAGGACAGTTTTCAAAACCTGCTCCAGCTGCTGCTCTTACCGGTTTAGATCTTCAATCAGTAGCGTCCACATCTTAGGCAACTCTGTTTCAGCAGAAGTCCATCCGGTGTTCACAGTAGTTTCCCTAGTTACTTGTGGTTACACCAAAATTTAGCTTGAGTTATTGTAAGTTTTCATATTTCATGATTTCATGTATTTGTGAAACATTTATTAATTTTCATCCTCCAAAGAATGCTATGATCTCATATTTTTAAAAGTATGCTACTGTTTTGAAATAAGCCAAGACCCTGGTGCATGTTAATACATTGCTTGCAAAATAATTATTCATAATCACTGACTGCCAAAAATTTTGCTAGGCAAGTCATATAATTATCTCTTATCCTCACAAAAGTCTGTTTTTAGATCCTGGTTTACAGAGAAGAGAGGGAAGAGAAGAAAAGCCTTGTACCTCACACAAGGTCACAGTAACAAGCAGCCAGACTTCTAATCCATCAGTCATTTGAAATTCTATGCTTTTTTTCCATTGCACAACACTTGCCACCTGTCATAGAGACTAGCAAACAAACAAGTAAACAAATGCACTTTTACCTTAATTAACATCAACTCTCCTGACTGTACTATTTACAATCACAAAATTAGCTTGCTTCTCCAAATGATCCTATGCTTGAGGAGATTAAATAAAGTGTTAATAAACTAGTTCCAGAGTTTAATTCTTTTCTAATCAACCAAGATGTGGGTAGTGAGCATTCAGACTTCAGATGCAGGATTTCCTTGTCCTCCTTTCACACTTTTTAGAGAGATTTCAACAAGTTCCACTTGTTTGCCCATTTGTCAGGTAAGAGTATAAATGCATAGCAGTTCAATGCTCATTTGAGATTTTATATTTTGTGCCTTTATATTTCTAATGAAAAACTGTATAGAAATGACTGTATGAAGTGACTTTTTATATATAAGCAAATGATTCTTTCACCGAGAGGAAAGCAGAGTAAGAATTTTAGAGATTTGCATCAGTAATAGTAAGAGTGCAATGGTAGGAGAGATTTGGTCATAAGGTGCTTTCTATTACCCTCCAGAGAATGTTGGTTAGTTTAATTTTAGCCAGGTAATTCGATCACAGTGACCTACACAACCCATTAGATGCTCCGCACCATCATCCCCTTCTTCCAGCCTGTGTAGCTTACATTGCTGGGAAATTAAGGGAAACATGTTTTGTGGCTCAGGCAGTCCAGATATCACCCTTGCATTTTATTTCTACAGGTAACTAGTAATTCTCCACCATGGGTTCTTTAGAATTGACATTAAAAGCAACTTAAATTCTAATTAGAAACAGTCTAAGAACCTGACAGGCCCACTTTTGCAGAATTCCTCCTCCTCATTAAAATGAGATTTAAAGCTAAGTAATAGGTTCTGTCACCCTCAGAAAACAACCTACTTTGGAATGTTCTTTATTACAATCAGAAAATAGTTTCCTGGCAAAGTCAGGTGGGAAGAAAAAGAACTAGTTTTTATAGAGTCCCTACTCTAGTTGAGGCACCCATTTTAGAATCCACAACCACCAAGTTAGACTAAGTTAGAGTTGTCACTTCCCAGGTAGGAATGTAAGGCTCTATGAAGTTCCCAATAAGCTATTGTACATTGTTATGTTATATTCTACCCACAGTAGTATATCATCATGCATAGGGCAATACTTCTGCCTTACAGGGCCTCCAGAATCCACATTCATTCCAAGATACATGAATCAGGAACTCTCCTGGTTTTAGGTAGGAAAAGACACAATGCACAGAAGTAGTGACTGTCACAGACTTTGGGAGGGCAAAGCATGGGTTGTTCTGCAGGAGATGCAGGACAGAAGATGGTTGGTGTAGCTAGACACTAGAACACATACACACAATAGCTTGTGTTTACATATTGCTTTAGGCATTTTACCAAGTAATGTGTGTGTGTGTGTGTGTGTGTGTGTGTGTGTGTGTGTGTGTGCTTTGTCAACATCAAGGCACTTTTGAAGGTTGAGTAGCTCTACATTTGATGTCAGGGGTCCAATTGTTACTCCGAAAAAAATACAATTAATACTCAAAGGATGTCCAAATAGTCTAGAGTGTAGAGAAAGAAAATCTTGACAAACACTTTCTTTGAGCACCAAATTGTTCAAAAACAAAAGTGTTCGTGAACTGAGGTACCACTGTACTTTTTTCAGATGATCAAATAGATTCAGTGGTATTTTACTGGAGAAAATGTCTGGAGGTCAAAGAGAAGCATATTAAGCCAATAACTTTAAAATGTCAGTCACTACTTAAAGCTGAGTTTATCAAATGTTTCCCCACATTTTGTACTCCTTAAAGATTTTTTATATGTGGGCACATACCATGTAGATGGGAAAATAAAATGTAAATAACCACAACCAAAATATACCAAAAAACATATGACTGTGGCTTAGAAAATTTTTTAGCTCTTAAAAATTTACCTAAGCAGACTTCCTGGGGTTTTTGTATGCCCATTAACAATAATGTAAATTTATATGTACATATATTTTTGGTACCAGGGATCGAACTCGACCTTATGCTTGCAAGGTAGGCAGAGGATCTACTAAGCTAAATCCCTGTCTTAAATTCATATTTTAAAACACACCATAAACTGCCCTCCAGAAGGGAACTGCTGTGTCAAATGGCTTCCAGGAGCTGATTGTCACGGCTAAGGAAAATGTTCCCATTACCCTGAGTAGTGGACTGCATGGGTTGTAGGAGAAAGAGGTAGGAAAGAGAGAAAGAATCTGCGTAGCACCAAACTCTGAACAAAAGTGAGCATTTGTGGGTTTTCTACTTTGTGTCAGGCATGCACATTTTCAAGAAGATTCTCTTGCTTTTTAGATGAGGAATCAGAAATAGGTTCGGATAAGGGAAACAGCTTGTCTTCCCTGTGCACTAAACCTAGCCTGTTTCTTCCTGGACCCCAAAGTCATGTGACATCCAGGACCTTGAGAGATCAGCACCTTCTGGTTCCCAGAGAGCAAAACTCAAGGTCATCATTTTTGCATTTGTGTGGAATTAAATAATGTGAACCGCAGACCATAGCTGACAAAAGTCTATTCAAATTACTTACTTTGAGAATGCCTCCAAGAGTGTTTATATTATCAACAATAGCTTATATTATGGATTCAAGGAAATAGACTCTCTAGGGTGAAAACTAAGTAATATATTACTGAATCACATATAAGGAATTAATTCATTGCACTCAGCTAGCATTGTAAGGAGCAAGGAACTAACATTTCAATTCCTGGGTCAGCACTGTTGGGCAGAGTTTCAAACAATACCAAGAACAGGGCTGGGGATTTAGTTGAGTGGCTCTGACACCTGCCTCTCAAGTGAAAGATCCTGAGTTCAATCCCTGGTACAAAAAGCAAAACAAAACAAACAAAAACAAAAAACCAAGACTCCCCCAGCCTTGTATGCAGATGCAGATTTAAAGTCTAAACAAATAATGAAAAGCACTGCCTTCAGTGGCTTTTAATGTAGTGTTGTGATACAGAAAGTATTTGTGGTCAAGCATAGGAAGCCAGATATGTACCGATCACTAATGTTTACAGGACTCAAGGTAAAGTACAAATGGAAACCCATTCACCAAATACCTAGACATTCAAAAATAGTGATTTACTTTTTCCATTATTGGCCAGTAGGGCAAAGTGTGTGGTACTCAACCTTCTTCTTGCCTGGAAATCAGCAAGGAGTGGTGTGCTATAAGTGACATTCTTTTGAAGTCGGGGCTTCCCTAGGTCTGTGGTGGTGAACCTTTTAGAGACAAGTGCCCAAATTGCAAACGAAATCCACTTATTTATTACAGAGTACTAACACTGCACTTAAACCTGAATACTGAGGTTTTTAGTTCAGCAAAGAACAACTCATACATTAGCATTTTTTTGTTTTAAAAGGAAAACAAAAAACACACTTGCCATAGGTTCTCTACCGCCGTACTATGTCCAGCACTGCTTATCATAAAGGTGGTGTCTCACTGGAAGTCAGTAGTTCTGGGTCCCAGATGGCTAATTCCCTGTTGTACCAAATCTTCCCAAAGGGGACAGCATCTCATAGCTGCGATGTTGAAATCCCAGCTTTGTTTTGGGGTTTTCTGATGGGATCAATAACAGCACTGATTTTAACTTTGTGGAAAGCTAAGGACCAGAGCAGCTCTATCAAAGCTCCCAGAGGATGGTAGGTACCCAGCAAGGACTCTTTTTATGTTTGTCTCTATCAGTGGATGATGCTGCCCTTATTACCTTCCTGTGGCCTGCTAGTGTGCACCACAAAGAGTGGGAATGTTAACAAGGTCAACTCCACGGGAATATGGTTAACATCCTCTCCTCACTAGCTCACACCTCGGGCAACCTCTTTTTGCACAGGGAAAGTTCACAGGCAGAGAATTGGGAGAAAATTCTCTTAAGACTTTTTGGTAGAGGAAGAATACATTTTTGCTTCAGTAAAATTATTTTCAGTCAAATTCTGAAAAATCTTTACAACATCAAGTGTTTTCATTTTATATAGATAATTTTAGCTGACTACACAATTTAATATTAAAAAGTCAAAGCCAATTTAATCTCTGGTGAATGAGGCCAATATTTTACAGATGAAACATTTTGATACAAAATGCTGGGAAAGAAATACAAATTATTTGAGTAATATAGATCTTTGTGTACCTTTAATGTTCCCTTTTCTCTTACTATTCTTTTTATGTTTTTGCATTCATGTTGAACCTCAAAATTAGTATTGATAGAACCAATAGGGGCTCATGTTTAAAGCACATATCAGTACTGTACATCTTATGTCTGACATCATTTGTCAGGGAAACATATAATCCAGCTTATATTGAGGACATAGGTAGATCACAGAAGAATTACTCTGGTCCTTTGCACTGGTCTGATTGTGGTGAGCACAACTGTGTCCATCTCAGAGTCCTATTATGTCATGTTGTCATGACAAATGGCCGAGATATAATAACTCAGTGAAAGAAAAGAATTTAGAGCTCAGTAAGCCTCAGAAATACGCTCAACATGCCTCATCCTAGCGTAATTCATTTATGCTAGATTGCAGCACAAGAAGGTAAAATGGAAAAGTCTGAGATAAAGCCAGACAGATGTGATAGTCAGATACATGAGCAATGAAAAAATACCTTTTTCGAGACTGGATTTTGCTATTTCTTTCTAATCTCTGATTATCATAACTTCTGAGGTTATGAATCATTACTTATTGATTATCTTAAGTGCACTTATTGTGGTGTGATAGCAAAGCAAGATCCTATCTACTTACCAAACCTCACCTAAGAAGAGCATGTAAAAGCTGTCTTTATTTTTATGCAAGTAAACGATGCCACATAAAGCACCGTGTACATGAGCAGAAATGTTATCCTATTGACATGGGTTTAGCTGGCCATATAAACAAAGCACATATCAAATTTATATAGGTTACAAAGCCATTAGCAATGATGGCTTTTAAGGAAAACTGTATGCATGACTCATGTGCTGTTCACTTGTGCCATTTGAAAATTAAGTCTTCCTAATTGGAGTGATGCACCAGGA